ATGGAAGAAAAACCATGTAAACACTTTACATTCAGAACTGAAGTAGTGAATAACAACAGTAAGTTGCAAAATACCTGTGTAAAATTGGAGAGCGGAATGTGATAAAATGAAAACTACTGGAGATGTACGTAAAGCAGAGTAATCAGATGAAGATTTGTGAACATCTTAAGGATATGAATACATCTGAACTACTGTGAGTGAATTCGAGTCAAGTCACGAAGTTTCCGATATTTGATTCTCGGCATCTCGAGGAACGCAGTCGGAAAACCTTCATGTCCCTATGTGGTACATACCAGGATTTAGTGACTCGTGGTGAACTCACTACTCCAAACTCTCTTCCAACCTTTAGAGAATGGTTGTGTTGTACATCGTCACACCATGTGCCACTTCACAGCTGCGAAATTTGACCGATGAAGACAGAAAGGGTAGAAAATTTACAATTTTTCGATCACATTTTTCCTCACTCAATTCCCCGTTTTAACTAGGGAAACAGTCAGTTTTATGGGGCATACGATTATACAGGTTCGTTTACGGACTTGGGAACATCTACCAGTTTGATCCAATAATTCTGTCACATCCCAGTGATGCTAACATACCACATTCCGTAGCCATTATCACTCACAGTTCACCTACGTCTTCCACGTACAGTTGAAGCTATGAGATAGCCTAAAACAGAACCTTGTATTCATACAGAACACGTTCAGGAATTGTTCCTACCATGATCAACCCTGGATCAAAATTTCTCCCCATCAACGTCGCCTTTTCCACTTATCTCGTTTTCTTTTTCTTTGTTTGTTGTTTTTGTTTTCTTTTATCTTCGTCCTTACAGTTTCAGCCATAATGTTTATAATTTATATCCTTTATTCTAGCATATTTTAAATAATACTGAATTTTACATTTATACTAATCTAACCTATCATTCGTGATAACTTCTCTTTTCTCAGTACATGCCTCCTCCTGCTTGATTACGCATATTGGTTATTTCATGATGAACTTCTCATTGCAGTCTTACTATCTCCTCTTTAATGTATACTATTTTGTATTAGTCATTCACCTGACACTTTTTCCAACCTTGAAATGGGCTTTTACTTTTCCTTCTCCATATTATATGACTCTATTATGACCAATCACTATTATCCTTTCGTAAATCACCATATTTTGTAGTTGCATTCAGCCCAGCACGTCGGTCATGCCAAAGCTGTGCATTTTGTGACCGTATAACTAATCTGTTATTCTACGTGAAGATGAATCAACCAGACAAGTGGCTTTTATTGTAACGACAAATATATTTTATAACTATAAGAACTTAAAGAGAATTTGGTGTAAGGAGTTTTCCTCGTCCAGACTGAATTTCAGTTCGTCACACGGGAATATTTCATACTCTTAAAACACAGTAATTGCGAAATACAGCACCAGACTATGACATCCCTGACTTTTGACCACTCTAGTAGACTTAGGTTGCCAACTTCCTCCAGATACGGGGAATCAGTTGTCAGGATCTCTTGACGATAATCAGTCGAAATTTTCCAAAATATAGCAGACGTCTTCACTCTGTCACGTCCACTGTTTTGACAATCTATACTAACTATCCTAACTGTTACACCTATTTTCGACCACTGTTAGACTAAAACACTATTGCATGATCATTTTCGGTTTGCTTTTCGAAGTTTGGCAACTTTAGCGACCTTCCGTAAAAAGTTTTATGTTGATTAGTCAGTCATTTGCTGACTTTCCTGATAATACTTGAAAATCATTTCGTTTTGCTACTTGTGCTAATCACAAGTAGAAAAGGCGTGCATGTATTGGTGCCGGTTGCATAAAATTTAGGTTACTTAGGTAATTTCTAGTACGTATTATAGTGACCCATTTTATTACTCATCATCGTAGTATACTTTCACTATGTAATTGGACTTTGATTTGTTTATCAATATAAAAATTGCGTGTTATCAATTGATACACTGTACTCGCTCAACTTTTGAATTTTGATTACTGCGATAATACACATTCGTACTCTTTCTCAAGTGCCTTTTGATTTACGTTGTGGATGTCGAGTAATCACAACGTTGGGACACAATAATAAACGTGAAGAAGAACTAGGATATACATGTACACTAGTTTGGTCAAATAGAGCACCACAACAATATCATACATTAACCATGACGAATCACGGAGTGGACAATGTTTCATCTGTCTTTTAAGATGGATGTGAATTCTTATATAAACATCCTACCACTTTGCACTCCGTTTTTAGTTATTGTGTCAGGACAGTAGAGTTTATTATTATACTGTCACACTTAATAAGGAACGAAATGAATGTCAACATGCTCCACTGCTGCATTACACTCAGGTTCTTTGACAGCTGGTTGAGTTTCGTAATGGTGTTAGTACTAAATTAGACTAGTGTGAAGAATTTGAAATGTGTGGACAGTAATTCAGGATCGGATCTTTAATAACTCTTCTTATCAACCCAATTAATCGCTTTCTACAACATGCTTGGATGCAATTATAATGATGTATGCTTCCAGTTTACGTTGATACGGTTTAAACAAATCCTTCCTCATAATAAGGCGCATTTATTTCAAATTTGTTGTGGAGTACTTTATTGTTGTTATTAGATGAGTGGAGGCAATCCTGAGTGTACCGTGATGGCGAGCCACCTAGTATGGTGGCCACATTGCAAACTTGACTGATGGAATTCAGTCTGCAGAAAACAAAGGACTAGACATATGACACTAGTTAGCGTTCAATCAAAAGCGTACTTTATGTTTAGGAAGCTGAGACTAGCATGAAGATTTCAATAAGTTTCCAAAGCTGTAATTTAATAACCTCATTAACTCCTTCACAATGAGACTTTTCAGAGGTTTTCCAGTACAGAAAATTCTTACCTGTTAGCCTTACTTAGAGACAAACACGCCAAGTACCTGATTATTTTATGTGCCAATTTAATAGACAAATACATTTTGTTGCCGTAGGACTTAGCCTTAGTGTATGGCCTTCTAAGCTATCATGCCTCACCTGTAAATGTCAAAAAGAATGAAAAGACAGACCGCAAAGTAAGGAAAGCTATGCAGTCAAAGTGAATGAAACTGTATAAGATAAAAAGTGTTCAAAGAGTAAACACATATATGCTTTCGTTCAATTTTGAAAGATGATGAGTTCTACTGTGCAGAATTTTTTAAGCATAATTTTTAGATTTCATAAGTTTTATTGCTGAATGTCAGACTGTTTCACATTTACTGTTAGTGCTAACTTCAGCGGCAGTAAAATCTGTAAGCCATAAATAAATGAAATTCAGTAAATCCCTTATTTTACGCTCTTGAGTTTACAGGCACTGTTATACAGTTGGTCTCCAGTAAGATAAACAAGCGTTTTATCTTACGTGTGGGATTGCTGTTGTCAGTAAAGTCTCAGTTCACAGCAAGAGGATTCCTATCATAGCAGCCCATTTTTGAGATCGAGGAAAAAGGAATATGAGCATCGACTTATTTACTGTTCAATACAACGGATCGAAGTTAGTCAACTACTTAACTATTAAACAAGTAGAGTGTAACAGAATATTTGCCCTTAACAATATTGTTCACCAAATAAATTGATGAAGGATACCTTAGTGGTCCAGTATTCAATGTTTTACTTTTATTCTTGAGCAAAGATACACAATTCAGGTGATGGACTTGTGAAAAATAATCTTAACTTCCAGGAAGAATAAATTTCCCCAAAGTCCATTCACCCATTAAGTATTACATATATATTCCTCATTGTGAAAGCACTGCTCAGTGAACACTGGCTGACTGTTTCAACATAGAACTCTGCACGGAAGTGCAGAGGGGAATGTGGTTAATGGATGTCAATGACCACAGGGAGTGAATACAACTGCACTAATAGTTCCTAGTCATCAGCTCAGTATTCCGAGGAGCCCAATTAAGGAACACTAGTGAGGTAACATCTCATCTTAATAATAAAGCATATGTGGTTACATCAAACTAAAAAGTGTGCATGTACCATCAAGGCAAACGTTGGCAATGCCTCTCCCAGCACCTGAAAATACGGCACAATTCCTTTGAACCATCTGCTAATTTACAAACTTGTACATTCTCACGATAGCATCATCATTGATACACTTTAAGACAAATAAGATCCAATGTTCCACTTTTATTCACCTTAGCAGTGACACACTATTATTTATACTTTGAGCTGAACAATAATAATAGATATTATGGTGCTTCACTACGTGAATTATCTAGTAGATGAATAGATGTGAAAATGAAACTGCACAATACCTCGATTTTACTCTTGAGTTACAGATATGAAGTTAATTTATGCAGAAAACATCATCAAATTTCCAGTTATTAGTGCAAAATACAACTTTTAAGTTTGCAATATCTTCATATTATAAAGGCCTGGCAAACAGAAGGAGGTCTAAATTCTGCTTTTAAATATAGGTCTCTGTTAAAGTAGCCCTGGTATATTATTAGCAAAAGCAGCAAAGACAGATTTGTAATGTCATCGGTGATTCAATCTTCATCCGTTGAGATTACCTAACAATAAATGAGAATATTAAAAATCACTGTTATCAACAGTCACGTAACTTCCCGCGCATTGCGGGTGTATTCCTCACTTGTAAATAAGCCATACATATAGAACAATAATTCATTTGGTGAAAAATATCCCAGGCTATGATTACTTAGAACATATCCCAGGTATTTTTCCAAAACTACACCTAAGGCAACCAGTGAAAAACGATAAGCACACAAGATATCAGTGTTTCCAATATATTTACAAACTTTAACGTAAAATAGCAAAAGTATGACAAATGTCATGATTTTTGAGCCTAAAGATTATAAACAAGGAGTTCATTGCTTAAAAAAAAGTGACGGGTTTTGAAACACAAGTTTTACAGAATCATAAACCCCACTTTTTAACCTGCTAATTATGAAATAACGATAGTAAACACCACCAAAATGAAAACATATCAGCAGGACAAACCAAAAATACAAATTATGCTAGTGTGAAATCCAGTTAATTTTCTTTTGTAGTTCTTCGATTTTCCTGTCTTTCAGTGTCAAAAGACTCTCCAGCTTCCTAATTTTGGCATGTAGTATCTCAATAGTTTCATTTAAAGTGATACATTGTTGCATCTTATCCTCAAAATACACGCGAGGGACATATTCTGATCTTTTCGGTATTATGCCACTTAGTTTCTGATCACCTCTGTTTACGATCCCGTTAGGACTACGCGCATGACGTATAGCTGCTCCAGCGTTGCATATGGCTGGGAAATCCAAGGAAGGAGACCGGACTCCTCGGGGAAATAGGGGATTCAATTGTCTTTTAGCTCGAGACCTACCTACTGGAGAATTCGAACTGTCACGATTACCACGAGCATGCGGATACCTATCTGCCTCAGGTCTGTAATCATAAACCTTCCCCTTGTCGTCCGAAACCATTCGCTCAATTCTGGTTCTCAATAGCAGCAAAACTTTCTCTATAGTTCCGGGTTTGGCCATAGCCAAACTTTCAATGACATCATCGGATAATTCGAAATTCAACTTTTTAAAAACTTTCCAGTTCAGCAGTTGCCAGTTTTTCCTTTTGGACTCGACAGAGTTACACGTAGGAAAATTATGAACATCTACAATTTTCGGGAAAAAGAACTTCATGACTTCAGCCATAAGAACACCATCTGAAAAGTCCCTTGCTATATTTCTTTTGATACGAGACAAAGGGATTTTATCAACCCAGGTGTATAAATCTTGCAATACACAGTCATCCATAATATTTTATTCACATCATCATCTCTAGAAACTAAAAAACCTACTTATGTATCACTAAGTGAAATAAATTCCAGTGACACACTTAAACAACAAGAAATAAATACAATAGAACTGGCATTAATTTTGTCTTTTTAAGGCAAGAATTCGTCGGAAATTTAAGCAGCATAGGAACAGCAATGTAAATAAACAGCGAAATTGGGTTTATTTGTTATAACGACAGTGTGCAGAGTGCAAATTACACCCTTGGTGGCCAGAACTTGAGTTGTGTGCCATCAGAACGCGACCTAGGCCTTATTTTAACAGAAAAGCTAGACACCAGTGTAAATTACACGAGAGACGTCGCCAAAGCTTACGCTACTTTACACTTTATGCATAGGCAGCTGGGAGCTCTTACTCCTGAACTATTCTTAACATTGTATACGTGAGGCCACTCCTTGAGGTGCATAATATCATTGCTCCTCCGCTACTCAAAAGGGATGCTAACATTCTAGAAAGTGTCCAAAGACGAGCGACAAAATGTGTGATCGGCCTCCGCAACAAATCATTTGAGGAAAGACAGAAGAAATTAAGTCTTTTCACACTTAGTTACCGTAGTCACAGGAGAGACCTCATCACCGTCTATAAGATCTTGTAGCGGTAAATAATTCCCCAAAATTATTAACCACAGCAATCATCACTCAACATTGGATGCTGACCCTCACTGTTTAAGTTGACTTGTTTAGCTGAAGGCTTACGGTCAAGCATCCCCGCCATTTGGTGCTTCGTCGTGTCACGTGCGTGCACGATTACTAGCTAGCTAAGCATTCATTCCTACCCGCGATTTGGTCCCAAAATATATATCGTATTTGGACGACAAAATCTGGTCTTTTGCTTTACCATTTGGTACTCGAAGAACGAACACTATAGTGGTTGTTGGTATAAGATCTTGCGTTAGTATAATCCGTACAACTCGCGAACGTCGATACCTTCAATCTCTAAACTGGTCAGCCCAACCACGAACTACATCTTCAATTCACACGCAGATAAACCCGGTGAGTTCGTTCCTTTTTGTGTTTATTCTTGTACTATATTGTTATCGGCATACTTTTCGTCATGAGTGATCCTAGCCCCAAAGTTATTCAGATTCGCTCAGCCGCCAAAACAATCCAGCTAGTACCATTTTGGCCAGATAATGCTGAAACGTGGTTTCAGATTGCTGAGTCCGATTTTTGTGAACATGGCATAACTGATCAACGTTCACAGTTCCTTGCAGTTATTCACGCCCTACCGCGGGAATTCAGCAAGTGCGTAACTCTGCAGATGTCGGTAAGTAACTCGTACGAGTTGCTAAAAGCAACCATACTCAAGAGAAACGTTCTCACAGATCGACAACGTCTGGATGAGTTATTTCGTAACATCGAGTTAGGAGATCAGTCAGCCGTGAGCATGCTGGCAAGAATGAAAGAGATCATTGGGCAAAGTCAGTTCGATGAAGGACTGTTTAGAGAACTATTTATATCCAAACTGCCACAGTCAGTTCAGACTGTACTTGTGACACTTCAGGGTGTTCTCATAGATGATTTAGCTGTCTCTGCAGATAAAATTCTAGAGATAACGAAACGGCCAGTTACCGAAGTATACTCAGTTACCGAACAGGCTTCGAAGAAGGATTCGGCAATGATAGAGTTAATCAACTCCGTCCAGCAGATGCTTAGGTCAAACAAGCCTAGCAATTCCTCCTACCGTCGTTCCAAATCCCCTCAACGGCTAAACGTACGTGGACGATCTAAGTCCAACACACGTTCTCTCAAAAATCCTGACTGGTGTTGGTATCACAACACCTATGGCAAGGAAGCAAAATGTTGTCGAAAACCTTGTCGAAAACATTCACTACTAACCAACGTAACTAGCGCTTCACCACTTTATAGAACCATGACAAAGTTAAAATATTGAGCAAAAAGAAAGGACTGTGCACATCTTTAGGAGAAAAAGTGTGGCTTCGGAGAGGAAGCTCTTCTGGTAACACAACATCCAACTATTCGTTCCATCTCGTCTGTCAGTTCCCACTGAATGAAATCACTTTTGTTTGTCTAGACTCCGGCTTACATGGCCTATGCTCTGTTCCCCCCTCTATCTTCTATTCGTTGTCTACGAATTTTCTGGATTCCCATTTTACTGTAGAGTATAAAATTTCTTGAGAGCACTTTTGAACTAATCAAGTGATTGCTAGGCACCACTGTACTGGTTTGAAATGAATAAACCTACCCTCAGCAGAACTGCAACAATGGGGCAAACGCAATCTCCTCACCGGAATTGGCTGAAGGATTAGAACTGCCTAAAAACAGAACGAGACCAACTCCAAAAAATGCTGCTGCATACCAGCACCGTTTAGAAATACTGGATTGCTAATATCTTTTTATAGCAATCCCTAAAAATGCAGCCTACTTTAAATAAAAGTAGTGATTCTTATATTCGCTTTTTTTGTTCTTGTCAGTTAATAGGGTGGTGCCAGGAGTGTTCTGTCTCACCTTCTAAAACGTGTATGTTAATTGAATGCGTATACGAAGTTCGTGGTTGAGAGTTCAAAATATTATGCTTAAGATGTTAACCACGTAGGGATAAAATGATGTAAACCCTTGCACCAAAGTTTTACCTGTTATTCTACATATGTCTGTTCCTGCGTCAACCGCGTTCCTGTAGTAAAGGATTTAATGTAGACCGTAATTTGTTATACGTAAATAACTAAAACACTCAAATGAACTAGAGTTCTACTTTCAGAAGCATAACGCAAGCTGATGTAACTGAACGTGAATTATATAGAAGGAGAATTATGGAATGATGAAAAAACCTAGCAACAAAATAATTTAAAGTTTTGGTATTTCAGGAGGATGATTACTCGTGTAGTACTAGCCACTTTCCCTACCACAGTAGATAAGGGTGCAGTAATGTCAAATAGATTGAAATATCTGACGGTGTCGGGCAGTTTAGGTGTGACCTGAAAAATACGTGGAAGAAATGGAAAGGAACACTTGATACATGATGCCTGGTAGTTGCCAAGCATTGCTCTAGTTGCACAACCCACTCATTTTTACTGAATGTGTGTGAATCCTTCATTCTGGGTCAAATAGGAGAAGCTGTGGGCAATCTTTGTGTCGTCCGCAAAGAGGCACAGCAAGCCATACCTGATTACCCTTCAGATATCGTTAATTTAAACTTAGGAAATAAATGGGTCTAGCACCCTTCCCTGAATTACATCACTTCATATGGGTCTGGATGACGAGTAATTGCGTAAAACTTTCACGACTTAGAAAAAGTCTTCTAAGAAGGAATTGAACCAGAATAATGGGGGTTCTTGGAACCCACACAACCTCCACTTAGAAATAAGTCTTTGTTCTGGGCCCTATCAAAAAGTATTTTGAAGACCAAGAAGAGAGTTGTGATAGACAAAACACGATCGCTGCTAGCAGTAACATCATCAAAAAGGTGAAGAAGGCAGTTTGAGTATGATTGACTTCTTAAGGAGCTGTGTTGTGCTGTAGTAAAAACCTTGTGTTGGTGGATGTATGAGGCTGTACCTTGCCTAATAACTTTTCATATAACCACGGAAACCACTGACGTTACGTTGATGGGTAGACAGTTTTCAATGTAATAAGTTGGTGGTTACACAGGACAGCTTCCAGTGCCCTGGGCAGCTGTCATTGTAACGACAGAAGAAAAAAGCCAGGCAACAGATAGTTTATTGAGAAAATGAAGAGATAGTTATAGGTTTTTATTTACATTATTTTCAATGGAGAAGCAACGTCTTCTGATTGGTTGTTTTCTCGCTGCATGTTATTCTGTACTGCTTGCGACCGTTTCTCAGAAAGCTAAGCCATATATTTGCGAAACCCACTTGCACACGTCAGAGCCGCTGTGATTGGTTGGTGAGTTCCTCAAAGTTAAGCTTTGTTATCGTTTTTCTCATGTCCCTGACTCCGGACGTAACACTGGCGCAAATTGTTGTTTACAGTTTTGGCTTGTCCGCAGCCAGCTCTCACCACCGTCGCTCTCTCCGTCAAACAGCTTCACCTGCAAGCGTTCCGACCTTCTGGGCTATACATTCTCTCGTTGATGATTGTTATTGGCTAGCCTGTCCTACTGTATCCATCGTTGGATCTAGGTGGGGTTAACTCCTCTCTGTCACCTCTTCTGATAGTACATACTTGACCCCGTCTTTTGGTGACCGTGTACGGTGCTTCCCACTTTATACGGAGTTTTCGTGAATCTGGCCCGCATCCAGCTGCATACCTCCCGCCTCTACACTTCACTTGATCCCCGACTGTAAAGATAATGCACTGAGTCTTTTCTCTCTGCTCACACTTCGCGGCTTCCCTCCGCTGCCTCCGCGTCACATTGTTGACTTCTTCTTTCAGTTCTGCTCTCAATTTCGTCATACTCCACTATTGGTGAAGGTGCCAGGTTTCGTTTTGTATCGGTAATCGTGGTTTCCTACAATACATCAGTTGTAAAGTTGACTTCTTTGCTGTTCCCTTGGCTATAACTTGATGTGCCACTAGAATCAGTGGAAGTCCCGTCTCCCAGTTACCGCCCTTCGAGGCCAGCCACTCCTTCATTTTATAGTTGCTTCTCTCCGCCAAGCCAACCGTTTATAAGTGACACAGGGTCGTTCTGATCCTCTTGATGCCCAGCTGTTGCAAACGGGAAGTAAATTCTCCACTTTCAAAACAATGACCTCAGTCGTCTCTGGTACTCCGTGGTCTGCAAAGTTGTATCGAACTCCTGCATCTGTCAAAGTCCTTGCGCGTTGGTCTGGGATTGCAACGGCACCTACCCATTTTGTCGCGTGTTCCGTCATTACCAGGAGGTACTAATTACCCCTTGATATCTGATGAGATGGACCCATTACATCTACGGACTACAAGTCACCTTTCACCGTAACTGGAATAGGCTGTAGCCGTGGTCGTCTGCACCGACCTCCTTTCATTATCTGGCATTGTGGACACCCAAGTACATATCTTGCA